CTTGGTAGGTATTTGAAGAAGGTGTAAACATACAATTTGTACTGAACAGACCACGGAAAATATTTAAGTTGTACCACTAAATGGAGTAATGGTTTACATACATCTGTATTTAACGAGGCTTGTCAGATGTGCCTCATGTTGAGTAAAATATGTGTTGTTGTGTACATTATATGTGTATGTTTTTCAGCACCATTGATAGAGCGAGACATTTTACACAGCATCTATTTGACAACAATGTGTAAGTCGGTTTCTCCAGATTTTCTTTTAGATTATAATATCTTTTCCCTGTCCATCCATTTAAGACCAAATTTATTGGTCTGTCTTTGATCTTTTAGAAGTTAGGTATATGTTTTTACTTTCGATCCATTTAAAGACCATTTCATTGATCTGTGCATCTTTTGAATTTTACTTTATCAACATTTGAAGTATCTATCTCTGCTCTTTTTGTGACCTCTAAACATTTTTACAGGTCATTTCTGTATCTTTGGAATGGAAATTGTCTTTTTCTATGCATGGATGAAGTAGATTTTTTTAATAACACTTATTTGACGTAATAAAGAAAGTAGAGATCTTTCCATTTGTATACATAGTAGGTTAATTCTTAAATGTGTAGTTCATCTGATCCAAAGGACCAGCTTATGCCTTTGGCACATTTGGCACAGTTATCTGTTGTCCAATAACTTCTTCTAAAACATGCTGCTTGTCATAAACTACCAAATTTGATCTGAGGCATCCTTGGGGGGAAGTGGGTATAATTTTGTACAAATGATGAGTGTGGGGCTCTATGGAGCTGAAAGGCAGTGCCAAATAGGGAAAAAAGGAGTAACATTTTCAAAATCCTTCTTCCATTAGGATGAACAAAATTATACCAAGTATGGTATGAAGCATCATTTGGTTTAGGGGATTATGGGATTCAGTTTTATATAAATCAAGTCTGACCTCGCTAGGAGCAGTGTTGAATAGGGGAATTAGGGGTAAATCTTCAATATTCTGCTTCAGTGTGGATAAAGCAACTAGAATGACTTCATTAGATCATGTGAACATGCAGGTCCCATAGGCCCTATGTTTAATTACATTAACCGACCAGGTAAGCATACAGGTCCCTTAGGCCCTTTGTTTAATTACATTAACTGACCAGGTAAGTATACAGGTCCCATATGCCCTTTGTTTAATTACATTAAACCACTTTTTAAATATTTTAATACTTTGCAGTTTTTATTTATTTTTTAAATTTTTTTCCAATTCCATATTTCCATAAACTTTGAGGTTTAATTCAAAAGTTGTTTATTTTATCAGATAATTTGTTTGCATGATTACATTTTAGTTTTATACAGCCTGTTTATAAGACGAATGCTTTATTTCTTATATTTTATCAAGTACCTTATATCTCCCCCTTGGTTTTGTATCATAATCTTAACATATTGCTTTAAGTACAATGTTTTGTAAATTATATTCCCTCAGTTTAAGCACATGCTACATAACTTAAACTGTGTGTGAAAACAACACTGAAATCATCTCCCCACAGATTAAATAATTTTCTCACCATTTTATATGCCAGGTATAATTTTCTGTGCCTAGGCAGACATCACCCACTCAGTATCAGCAATGGTGGGTTTGCTCATGATTCTCTGACATTTCGGTAATGGGGGGAAGTTATAAGTTAGAAATGGCATCGGTGAGAATCGAGTGTGTTAAGTGATAAACATGCATTGTTTGGCAAGCAGGAACAGACGAAAACTTCCATCTGGAATAATTATTTATGGGATGTAAAACACATCTGTGTGTGAGTAAGCCAATTGATTACGTATTCCTTGTACAACTGGAGTCGAAAGTCTTCATCGGAAAATCCGAGAGTCTGCGGGTGAATTGGACAAAAGTTAGGTCTACATCATCCTTGCTCCAAAGTTCTGCCATTATGAAATAAATGGCAATATTGATATTAAAATTTAAGAAATTAAAGGACATTATGTAATGAATTTTGAATATCAAGACTTAAGATGGGGATGGGTCGAAGAACTTAGAAAAGTTTTGTTATAAAAATCATCTTGTCCCAAGTGCAGGTGTACCAGCAGGGAAAGTGTACATAATCTTTTGACTTTGTTAAATAGTTTCTGATCATATATAGGCTTATAAAGGGAACATAAGATGTGTCAGCTGATACAGATTTAAAATCTAGATCTCGCTTCCCCAGGGATCTCTGTAAACATTGGCTTGGACCAGTTTTGTAGAGACACAATGATGTAGTTGTAACCTTTGTTAAGGGATTACAAACCACCAACATCACCCATAAATCTATGTCTAATTATGATGGATGTCCTCTCCCTATCTGGTGTGTGTAGAATTATAGGCTTGACTAAACTCCACCATACTTAACTATATCAAAGCCTAGAACAAGTTGGTATGATATACTAAACTATCATTTTATTTATTTTGTATTTTCAACAATTATGGTCCATTTTCGGCTTTCCCATATCTGATGAACAACCATTAAACTCCATTTGTTTAGATGGAAGGACTTTTATCGCCTGGACAACCCAACCACCCAGGGGTGAGGGTCTCCATCGTTATATCATCAGTAACATATTGTTGTTCATATCAAGAATCGGTTCTCTAAATTTTGTTTTAGTCGGTGAAGGTCTAGTATAGAAGTTTTAGAAAATGTCATTGTTTTTATCATCAACTATGAGCCTTCAGGCCATTCTTCAGGTCTGACTTAAGTTATGTAGTTAACTTCTATCTCAGTATAAACAGGTGATAGAAAACAAATATCCCTTAAACAATGCTTTAAGATACCTTCAGTATTCCGCAAATCTAGACGACAGGATTTTGGGGGGATATTTTCAGGGGGTCAAAATCAATAAAGAAAAATCCAGGATCATATGAGAATGTATTATGATAAAGGAATATTTAAATTACATTTTTACTTTGAAAATAAATGCTGCATCAGTTGTGACTTACAGAAAAATATACATAATAAAAATAAACAAATAAATAGAGCCGATTTCCCTAGGGGACATATGTGTTTTAAAGATATCTTCCGTGCCAGGCCTTGTAGTACATATATCATGTAAATATTTAGTTTTATCTATCCAGTCTAATATCCATAAAAATTGGCCGCCATATGAATAACACAGATCAGAGGTTACATTTTTGTCTTTCATATTTTTTTAATGTATGGAAATCACTCCACTCCAGATTCTCTAAATTTTCTTATCTAAAAATAAAATATACAGAACTCAGTTCATCCTCACTATCACCATGGGGCTTAAACTAACATATTGCAGCCTTCCACAAACACACCCACTCACTTCACATAGGAAGGGGGGGATCCTTAAAGATCTTAGCTGTTGACAAGACATCAACCAATACAAAATTAAACCTGTTGCTTTCATACATAGGGATGCCAAGATCATAAGATAATTAAACAATATAAAACCAAAGGAGACCATCCTTAAAGATCATAGCTGTTGACAGGACATTAAACAATATAAAACCAAGGGAGACCATCCTTAAAGACCATAGCTGTTGACAGGACATTAAACAATATAAAACCAAGGGAGACCATCCTTAAAGACCATAGCTGTTGACAGGACATTAAACAATATAAAACTAAGGGAGACCATCCTTAAAGACCTTAGCTGTTGACAGGACATTAAACAATATAAAACTAAGGGAGACCATCCTTAAAGACCTTAGCTGTTGACAGGACATTAAACAATATAAAACAAAGGGAGACCATCCTTAAAGACCTTAGCTGTTGACAGGACATTGAATGATATAAAACCAAGAGAGACAATCCTTAAAGACCTTAGCTGTTGAAAAGACATTAAACAATATAAAACCAAGGGAGACCATCCTTAAAGACCATAGCTGTTGAAAAGACATTAAACAATATAAAACCAAGGGAGACCATCCTTAAAGACCTTAGCTGTTGAGAGGCCATTAAACAATATAAAACCAAGGGAGACCATCCTTAAAGACCTTAGCTGTTGAGAGGCCATTAAACAATATAAAACCAAGGGAGACCATCCTTAAAGACCATAGCTGTTGAGAGGCCATTAAACAATATAAAACCAGACCAAAGCTATTCCTGGTTCCTTTATCATCGTGATTAAAATCAGCGATTTAGAATTCTATAGAAAATTTGTGATATAGAAATCCTAGTGTAAGCTTGATCTTTATGTCTTCTATGCAATACAGTGCTTGTTATACAAAAAAGACATAAAAATTGGTCAATTCCTAGTTATTCTTTCTACTCTTTATTAAAGTATGGTTAATTTCTCCCCTTAGTTTTATTCATCTTTACTGTTGAATATTAATTTTGCTGAAATAAAGATAAGAAATTTGATGAAAAATATATTTTCTAATTGTAGATACAAATTGTTTGTTATTTATGAAACCGTACTTTGAACAATCAGACTTTGGAAAGACAGCCTTTGGGCTTTACTTAGTGTTAAATCATCAAAGCATTGCCGATAAAATAAGAAAAGTAAAGCTGATATCTGATAATCTGGTCCAGTCAGAGAAGAATGTCACATTTCACAAGTTTTGTATGAACTCTTTCTTGCAGCAGTGAGTAATTTTGATGTTCATCAGAGTTTTAAATCCTGTAAATACTATGTCTCCCTTGCTGGTTGTAGACCACAGTATATATTTAGTATAAGCTGTTTCCACTCAGTTTGATAATATTGATGTTCATCAGTACATTTATATAACTGGAATAAATCTAAGTGTAAAAGAATGTGTTAGTGTCATACAATCGTGAGTAACCTCCCAGTTTCCTTGGTCGCTGGACTGTATCGATACCTTACGCCTGACAATGTATTGTTAGATGGCACCTGTGTATACAAGCGTCACGCTATAGATATATGTGTATACACCACTGTACTGTGTGTAGCTTCAGATTCAAATTACTTTTGTGTGCCGCGCTTTAAAAACATTACATGTGGGCCAGTTATAAGCTGCCTGTAGACTTTTGGAGGTGGCGAGAAGACTGCTGATGAGTTTGGGGTGTGTGGAGGAAGGTAAACAGCTCCGTTGCCTGGCACAGTACCACCCTAAGGGTAGATGGCTGAACAATTCCTCCCATCTTTCACTCCCTTAGATTTATACTTCCTGCAGGATTTCTGAGATGTGTGTTGATTCTGAGTAAATCCTTACTGATATAACCACTGACAGAGGAGGAATTTTTCAGGGTTAAATTTGGATTCGGACGTGTCTTGTCTTCATACCTATCTCTGGTGTGATTCTATTGTGTACGGTCCATTCAACTCCCAGGATACATAAAAGATTTTACACTGTCTGTCATCACCAGCTCAGGAATGAAAATATGTGATTGTGGAGAATACTGACATAGTATATCAAGCTCCAATGAATTTGATTTACATCTGTGCTCCTAAAGTTAAACAACAAAGTATACACATCTAGGGTACGGATCAGGCAGAGAGGAGTAGCATGGATAAACAACAGCCAATCTAAGTGTCTTGTTTGTTTCTGTTAAAACACAAAAAAGTCATCATGTTCTTTCACCGCTCCAAGAAGTACTCACTGGGTAAGTAGTCAGTCATATCCTCTATACTCTAGTTTGTGGTTGTGAGGTATACCACACCTACTAAAACACCATCGGTGACTCCAAGGATATCAACCGTTATAGGAAACGGAATAGGAAACCTGTCATATATCAATACTGTATAATTAGAACTTTACAGATAACGACCATATGTGATGTTGATAACAATTTCATAATCATGCACATTAATTTTTTCTTCTTAATGTACTCAAGTGACAGCAAAGGACTGTCAGTGAACTGTCAGTTAGTCCTAAAATCAGAAGTTTAACAGTACATCTGTTTATGAGTATGGATGAGAATATGTTCTGTACAATATTTTATACCTCTCACAGATATTAATATCTATCATAGAACTGATTTAAGAGATTACAGATTGTTTTAAAGAAATAGAATAGTGTTTCCCAAAGAATTAATGTTGCTTCCATATATGGACATAACGATGTTTGCTAGATGATGGTCTGTCAGTGACAAATGTTTTATCCAATAGACATAATGACATTTGGATGTATAAATATTGTCAAAAGATTTAGACCAAAATTTGAGTTGTTGACAGATTCTCTCCATGCTGAATTAAGTTCATGTTGTGTCTATTCGAAAGACATAATCAGATTGTGTCTTTTCAAAAGACATGATCTGGTTGTGTCTTTTCGAAAAAACATGACCAGATAGTGTCTGTTCTAAAGACATGATCAGATTGTCTGATCTGTCTTTGAACATGTCTGATCAAAGGATCAGATTGTGTCTGTGCTAAAGACATGTTCAGTTTGTGTCTGTGCTAAAGACATGTTCAGATAGTATATCTCTGCTAAAGACATGTCTAGTTTGTTTCTGTGCTAAAGATGTGTTCAGAGAGTATATTTGTACTAAATACAAGTTTAGTTTATGTCTGTGTGAAAGGTGTGTTCAGAGAGTATATCTGTACTAAGGAGAAGTTTGTGTTAAGATAGATGATATAATTCCTGTTTCTGTGTTTAAGACCAGTTTTCTGATAGTTTCCATATTGTATACTGGTGTTCTGACAATTTCTCTGCTATAGATAGGTATTCTGAAAGTAGTACAAAGTTGGGAATTCTGAGTCAGATTTTGCATAGACGGGAGATATATCCTGTACTCTGAGCTCGGGATGGTCTGATCCTGCTGTAGTGTATGACTTTAACGTAATTATTTAAACAGAATGAGCATATTTCTTGTCTGCATGACTCAAAAATCATTGAAGAATATGAATTTCGACTGAAAAAAATTCATATTATGAAGAGTAGTTATTCAGCTGCCAAGGTGACCTCTCTTGCGTCATCTACCTGAAGAACTGACTCGGATAATTGTTGCCATGAAGGCTTTGGGTATGATCTACTGATGGGTATTTACCCTGGGTAGGCTGTCGACAGAAGTGAATGGTAGAGATAGTTATTACTGTGACTCATGTGGGAAAACTGTATGAAAATCAACCAGTAACAAAATTATTGGTTTTTAATTTCATAAAACTCATTTTAAATGAAAAATTTCACTCATAGATGACTCAATGATAAGAGATAACTATTTACTTATATCTGTATATAAGAACCATGTGATACCTATAGGACAAAGTGAAGACATACAACAGAGTGAGAGTCGGATGACTGCCGTCTAACTTCTATCCTGATCTGGTAAGGTCACACAGTAGAGGACACCTTCAAAGCAGGATCATTGATAAAAGAAATCTGTGTGTATATACTCACACTTATAAACATCTCTTCTTCTGTTATAAAATGTCTTAACTGTCAATTAAAAAAGCTCATGTTTTTGACAAAAAATCACACACAGTCCAGTATGAACCGGTTTGAAAGTTCCATATTTCAGAATCAAGCCAATTAAGTGTTTCGGGCATCAGCAAAAATGACCTTGAATCGCTGAAATAAACCTGATTTTAATGATAAAAAGAGAGCTCTGCTGGTACTGATAGAAAAGTAAGCATCTTATTGACTTTGAACAGGTTGACACATCACAGAGACATGTCGAGGAAAATTTTTATGGTTTTCAGGTTTGATTAACACAGGTCCATAAAGATGTTAATAAAGGGGACAAGCTAGGATATAATTGCTGCCCTCTCCCTATCTTCTAATCTTGTACAACAGGAGAACTTCACCATACCATTAATAATGTAATAAAGCTTGTGTAACCCTGGTAAATACTAGCCGCAATATACTGCATGACTACAGAGAACTTCTCTTTAGCTTGATCTGTTTAGCAACAGACTAGTATACCAGGATTGGCCATGGGTTTGAACCCTAGCGGATACATTGAAATAAATGATGACCTGTAATACATTGGCACCCATGTAGAGACCTCGGAATAATACTGAGCCATACCTCACCAGCATCGCTATAACCCCTGGAAACTCAAGCACAACTTATTTCCTGGAAGGGAAGTATGTTACCCAGGTAAATAACAGCCACAATATACCACTTAGCTAATGAGAATTTCTCTTTAGCTTGATCAGTTGAGCAACAGCCTAGTAAGTCAGGGGTCCCGGGTTCGAATCCTATTGGAGGCATTGAAATAAATAATGACCTCTGTTATACTTTGCATCACTTCAGGCACCTGTTTGAAGAATAAGCACTTATTTTGATAAAATGAGTGAGTTGATGTGACTTGTACATAGTGTTAAATACAATCTCTGTGAATCATCTGATAGAGCGTGCTTTTTTGGTTGGGTACAACTGTTGGTTATCGTTTATGAGAACCTGGTTTGATTCCTGTCAGGCACTCAGCATGAATATAATCATCTGTTAAAGATCAAAAGATTCTAAATCTGTAGTGTGTTAATAATCTCATTATTTAACCTGTGATGTCATAAAGATAAATTTCTGGTTCCACAATTTTCATAAAGATGATATTTGATTTACAAGATAACAATTATGAGTTTAATTTGTTGGAAATAAGGTCATACAGAGGAGTCTTACTCAACTGGTTGTCACTTTCCCCTTCGATTCTATTAGGTTTTTAAAAGGAAGTGATATAACACAACAGTAATGTAAGTAGAGTGAGGCCTGTATGATAAGGAAAATGTTCTGTTATTACAAAATGTGAGGAAAAACAGTTATACTCACAAAAAATTGAAATAAAGAGGTGTTAAGTACATGTTTATTTCCACATCAACAAACTTATCTTATCGATTGAGATTATAGGGGAGCACTAGCCATGGCAGAGAGTCTGTTCTGAGACGTGTAGTAAATCACATGGAGATCTGCACTGCTAAAAACTCTACCATTAGAACTGTAAAGCTTTCTTGAATACTCAGATTTCTCAGATTTCGAAATTATCAACACATGAGGATTATTGTTTAAATCATGGTCTAATGCTGGTGTTTTGGACATGATTCTTGCGGATAGATGTGGAGTTCTCCAATTCTCCAAGCTCTGTCTCCTCTGTCTCTCTATATAGAACTTAATGCTGTAGATCCTCTATTTCTCTGTATAACACTCAGAGTTCTAGGTCTTCTGTCTCTCTGTGTAGAGCTCAAAGTTCAAGGTCTTCTGTCTCTTTGTATAACACTCAGAGTTCAAGGTCTTCTGTCTCTTTGTATAACACTCAGAGTTCAAGGTCTTCTGTCTCTTTGTATAACACTCAGAGTTCTAGGTCTTCTGTCTCTCTGTGTAGAACTCAGAGTTCTAGGTCTTCTGTCTCTTTGTATAACACTCAGAGTTCTAGGTCTTCTGTCTCTTTGTATAACACTCAGAGTTCTAGGTCTTCTGTCTCTCTGTGTAGAACTCAGAGTTCAAGGTCTTCTGTCTCTTTGTATAACACTCAGAGTTCAAGGTCTTCTGTCTCTTTGTATAACACTCAGAGTTCAAGGTCTTCTGTCTCTCTGCTTGAAACTCATAGCTCTTGGTCTAATGTCTCTCTGTGTAGAACTCAAAGCTCAATATACTCTGTATAGAACTCAAAGTTTTATGTTTGCTGCCTCAGCTTATACAACTCAAAGTTCTAGGTCCTCTGTCTCTTTGTATAGAACTCAGCTCTGTAGGTCCTTTGTCCCTCATAGAACTCAATGCTGTAGGTCCTCTGTCCATCATAGAACTCAATGCTGTAGGTCCTTTGTCCACCATAGAACTCAATGCTGTAGGTCCTCTGTCCATCATAGAACTCAATGCTGTAGGTCCTCTGTCCGTCATAGAACTCAATGCTGTAGGTCCTTTGTCCACCATAGAACTCAATGCTGTTGGTCCTCTGTCCATCATAGAACTCAATGCTGTAGGTCCTTTGTCCACCATAGAAATCAATGCTGTTTTTCCTCTGTCCATCATAGAACTCAATGCTGTAGGTCCTCTGTCCATCATAGAACTCAATGCTGTAGGTCCTTTGTCCACCATAGAACTCAATGCTGTAGGTCCTCTGTCCATCATAGAACTCAATGCTGTAATGGGTGAAAAGGATTCTTACTTTAGATGTGACTTAATTGATTGATCAAGAACATGTCATGAGCATGTGAAATAGAATGTGTGCTAATGTTGGAACTGAGTGATGAAGAGACATTGATGAATGAAATGTCATGGCATCATCTGTTAACGTAGATTGAGTCCCATATCCCCTGTACATAAACTACCTTGTACTTTAACGTGATCAGGGATAGACACTATAGTTGAGAATATGTACAGTACTCTTATGTATTAACTGCTGTTTCTCCTCTGAAGTAATTTTTATGGTGCAGCTATTCTGCATTCTGAGTGTTTACAGAAATGGGAAACTCATTAGCCGGGGAGAACGCTGTCTGTCTGGGGAATGAATACATGTAAACTGATGATAGACAACTGGAGTTCTGCTGGAAATGGGAAATAAAAGCACAGCATCTGCACAGGGATTGGTGCATACAGGATACATATGAAATACCAAAGGAGGGATAGGGAAATGGCAGGTACCAGATCAGCAATGGGGAGAGTTACTGAGATAGATAGGCTGGTGAATAGAAGTGTGCAGCAATTAGATGGGACGATGGGGACATCAAG